ACGAGAGGGCTTTGTATAAGCAGCGAATCCATAAACATACAGTTGAATCACGTTTTCAGACTTTTGACTATTTACTGGTGAGCCGCGGCTTGAAAGCGCCAGCACAACAGCTGCTGTCTCCGATAAGACCGGGCTGGCGATTTATGACATCTTTAAGACGTCAACCATACACGACTTTGAAGGGAACACAGAACTACTACACCGGACCTCAACTTTTAAATGATTGATCTCATCTTTACAGATTACAAGATTTGCAGAGGAACAATTTGGATTGTTTTGTTAAACCCGGCAGAACTTTGCCACATCAAGTGAGCATATAGCCTTAGAATCCCAAAAAGGACAACATTTTCATGAAAAATACACATGTGTATGGATCGGGATGGAGGCATCTTGAAAGTTGTTGGAAGCTAAATGCAAGAATAGCAACTTAAAAGAACCTATCACCATTATCATCACCGTCGTCATCATCATTAAAGATTACATTAATTTTTCATTAAACAGATAGCGTATTTCCCTACAAAGAATACGCTCTATGTACTTTTCAGTGAGTAACTAGTTGATTGACCTTTTATCATTGCGAAGCATTCTCACCTTCTTCAGAATCATTCGATTCAAGTTGCCATTCTACAGGCGCTCAAACACTACCGAATGTCCAATGCCTATAGTCGGGATATCCATTATTATCTGGGGTGAAGTGAGGAAAATGTTTGCGATGTGCCCTTCCCCAAGGTCACGGTGTTGAGCCGCCCAGGCCGGGATTCGAACCCGCAACCTTACGCTTGAAAGTCCGGCACCCTAGCCGCTGGACTACCGACAAAACGGATCACATCAATATTTAATCAGACGTTCTGAAAAGTAACTAACTTCTCAGCAGCTGGGACATTGCAAGCATAACAATATAGGAACTTTTAAGAGCCAATCTCGTTGTTTCAGAAGTACGAGTTGTATATAGAAGTATTTGGGTATGCCGCGCCCAACTGTCTATTGGGACGTTGAAATATATTTCGAAATTATTACAAATCTGCTCTACAACGTTGACCAAGGAAAACTCGAAGTCTGATGCGGCAGAAGAAATTTTAATTCTAACATCTTACGGTTTAGCAGTTCCTTGGGACAACGATATCTGTTAAGCGCTATGGGTCTTTTGCTCTGTTTGGGGAGCTACTTATTGTTCTTCATCAGGTTATTGACCCACGTATATATATTTTTGGTTTTGTTGTGACGACTGGAGTGCCTTGTGTTGTCGTTACTATTACTGATGGAGTTTTTCTTTTGAGGCCGTCGCCGTTGTTATTCTTCTTCTTGTCTCATCCTTTGAAACCATTCCGTACATCAACTAAACCACTCAAACAGATTGTATGTGTGTGTGTGTGTGTGTGTGTGTGTGTG